CTCGCCTTCTTCCGAAGTAGCGTGCTAATCTTTCCCAACCCATCACGCTTCAGGAAATCGGTCTTGGCTTTGTGTTTTTCCTTTTAAAAATAACACAAACGGTGTTCGGGTTTAAAGATGTTTTGCGCAGATTATTTTTCAGTGATGTTCATGTAAACCGAGGAGGCTGCATTAAATATCCGAATTATATTTTTGACACTGGGTCTTCTATCTTTTCCACTCAGGGCGACGAAGAGAGTCAGTTACCAAAGTCAGTTTCTCACCCTGCAGCCTGACCTTTACAAGTTGTCCACAAACTAAGAACTTCTCCTCTAAGGGGTTATTATGAGGAGGGAAAACAAAGGACTGTCTATCTGTGAAACGAGATAAAGCGCTAAGTGGTGGCTTTAAAACCCTGAAAGTGTCTCATGGGCTCATGAACCGTGCGCAAGTCCGATCCATCTCAGCAGAACAACCAGCTCTTTCTCAGGAGCAGGTGTCCTTTGGTGTAAAAAGGGCCCCTTTGCCCACCTACCCATCTTCTCAGCCTCGTATTTTCCAACATCTGCATGCCTTTTCCATTAAAATCCACAGAATGGTAGTAGACATGAGAGGCAGTTCCTATTCCCTTGGGGATTCCGCCAGCCGGATTCAGCCCCGGACAGTAGTAGAAAAGCGCTCTCTCGCCTCCGCAGCCACTTTTGCGCTCCCGGCTTTGCTCCAGGATGCGTGCAAGGTCTCTGTTTCCCGCACCGCTGCTGGACGTTGCCCGAGGCTCTCGCCCGTCGCCGGAGCCTCTTCCCTGACAGTTGGGCTTTGCTGCTGCAGACGACGCTGCAGCCAGGCCGGCACCACGAAATCTGCTGCCTGCCATGCAATCTGCGGCGGCAGCGCCCAGGGACGCGGCGGTGGCCCTTTCTTTGGCACCGACCTCGGGCAGGAGCTGCCAGACTCCCCGTGCAGAGCTGGCGCTGGCTCCCAGGGGGGCAATCAGCCTTTCTTGTTGGCCATAGGGGGAGGGTGTCACTATAGAAGACGCATCTAAGCCAATGTAGGGGGCTGTCGCGCTAATTGCCCGCGTCCAGGGGGCACAGCCTGGCTGTCAGCCGCCGCCCCCCGCCCTCGACTCAGCAGCAGCCAATATTTGGATAACGTGTAATTTCTACTGCCGCCCCCGCCCCTTTGGAAACCCGAACCGGTCTCTGACTGAAGCCCGTGCGATTAAGGGGAGATGTTTTGCCTGCGCGTAATTGCCTCGCAGGTTTCTCCCAGCAGCTCACGCAGGCGGGACGCGGAGCTTGGAGAAGTTCGATGGGAGCCCAACACCACATTCAGTGGGGGCGGGTTGCGGAACTGCGGGTGGCGGAGAACAAACCCTGGCGCTGGCAGCAAGCAACGTGCGACCATAGCTAATCTCTGCTCTTTACTATTTTGTAGCACTCTTGGTTTCAATAGCCAGCAGAGCGGGGAACGGGGAACTTGATTGGCCAGGGCATGACAGTTTCTCCAGCAATGCGGAACCATCAGTTTAGGACCACTTAATACTTTAAAATAAATAAATAAATAAATAAATACGGGTATCCTTTTCGCTGAACTGAAAAAGCATAAGCGTCGTTTGAATAACTTGCAGTCTAAAGTCTGTTACAAGAACAAGAAAGGCATTCAGCGAATTTCGCATTCCTTGTTGCGTTTTTTTTCCCCATCTTACTTCGCCTTAAAGGCGTAATGATGAAGCCAGGCAGATGTGCGGTTGTGCTCTTAAAGAAGCGCTTGGAAGCTCCCCCCGCCCCCCATTTCGCGAGTATTCCCCGCTTCTCTGTTTAGGAGTGAACCTGAAGACCAGATGGAACCCGGGTCATCTGTCAAGAACTAAGCACGGTGAAATACGTGTTCGTGGGTAACGTGTGATTGTGACTGAGAGAGCGCTGAAACGCCGGTAGGAGTTCCAAGAAACTTCTTCTCCCAGGGCCTCCATATCAACTCAGGTCCTTTTTATCTCTGGCACGCGCAGGGCGCCTGCTCCTCAATCGCAAAGATCACAGTGGGAAGCCTTGGGTGCACAAACACTTCTTTTGTCAGGGCTGGCGAGACAACTAGCGAGCTGGATCCGATTGCTAGTTCTGCCACTGTTTCAAGTTTATTTAGTCATATTCAGCGAAGTCTTACACACGTGCTTCGATGTCGATGGAACATAGTTCCAATATCCTGCTGAGAACGAGGTAGACAAATGACACACAACCCTAAGCTTTCGTTAGAATACATTGAAGCTGCCAGCGGACCAGACTCTCTGTTCTAAGCCTTGAAAATGTCTTGAAATGAATAGGATAGATTTCCAAGGAAGATGGGATGTAACTTATGGCGTTATCCACCAACCATAACTAAAAGTATTCCCATCAAGTCAAGTGGGAAGTGGATCTCGCCCCTCCTCCTCAATCCATTGGTTTAAGTGAACTGCAGTGGCAGGAATCCTGGGTTCGACTGGATGACCGCAGGGATCCCTTTCAACTCTATAATTCTATTATGTCCGCTGAACGTACTTCAGCGTCCATCTTTCATTCCGTCTTCCACGCTCTCATTACACACCCTTTTACTTGGAAGCAAATCTTGTTGGGTTCGCTGAAACCTAAATGCTCTTGAACGGGGAATGGTGGTCGGGGTATAAACAAAACAAAACAAAAACCTCTCCCACGCAGGTCTACTCAGTCAGAAGTATGCTCCTCTGAATTAAAGAGGACCTAGGAAGTGTATCCAGGATTCCAGCCTTCGTCGCTAAATACACGACATATGTAATCCTATGCATACTTATCCCATTAACACACGGGTTCACTCCAAGAAAGCATTCTCAGGGCTGGACTATGTCGCTCACTAAGCCATGGAAAGGGAATTCTAGGTGGAAGAGGTGTAATTAATCTATTTTCTACACAAAGCCTAAGGCTGCCTCACCAAAAGCCTTTCTAATTCAGCATTTCAGAAGTCAAGACCCTGACTCGGGTTCCGAACAGGCGTTTCTGTTTTCCTTGGCATCGCTTCTCAATAACAAGAAAGCTCAGCTATGAGCCATCGCCATCTCTACAGAGAGGAGCAGGCGGGGGGAGATTCCCAGGACAGGAGCGAAACCGAGCGGCATGGAGTTCAAGCGGCTGTGAGTGGTGGGCGCTGGGGAGACGGAGGAGGGAGGAGGAGGTCGTCTCCTTGCCATCCTGAGAGAGGAGGGGAGGGAGGCAGAGAAGCGATTTAACGGCTCCCTCCAGCGTCGCCTCCCTGCGCGTGTCCCTGGCCCCACCTTGTCCGCTTAAAGAGTTAAGCGGCGGGGGGGGGAGGGAATGCGATCCGTGTCTTCTGGTGTTCCCTAAGCCTCCGTCATGTGATGCTAAAGAAGCTGGAACTGGGCGGGGTGCTTCGCTGTCCCGGCCAGGGATCGTCACAAAACGGAGCCGGGAAGCTTTGCCGAGCCAGAAGCCCACCTGCGACGCTGCCTTCTCCAGCCGCCGTCGCCGACCTCTGCGCTCCACGCTCTGCCTCCAGGCTGCGCGGCGGCCAAGCGCTCCGGACGCAGCTGCCTGGCACTTCCAAGCAGCTCCTTCTTTCCTCGAGCGGATACCGCGGGCCAAGCACTCACCACCAATCCGCTCCCCACCCGCTCCCCACGTAAAGGCCACAAGACACCCTTGCCAGCAGTGGATCCCCTAAATCCAGGTGGCCCCGAGTGACTTCTCCGTCTCCTTCCCGGGAACGTGCAGGGGCTGCTTTCGCCCTGCGAGGACCGTGCGGTGCGCCGAGCGGCTTCTTCGACGGGCCCCGGCAGCTCTGCTTCGAGCGGTTCCTGCGCGGAGCGAGGCGCTGCTCGCCGGGCATTGAATTCTGCCGTGAGACTCACCTCCCCACTATGGGCTGAAGCTCTTCGCAGAGTAGTGGAACATGGCGAGGGAGGAAGTTCAGAAAAAGACCCGTGTCAAAGAAGTTGCCGGTTTCTGTCCCGCCGGCGGTAGCGAGACGGTTGAGGATGCGGTTCGAAAGCACCTTGATTTGGGAGCAGTGAACCGGATTTGTATGTAGCATTGCAGAGCCAGTCCTAGAGGGAAAGAACGGGAAAAGAGGGGAGAGATACGGATTAAAGGGGGTGGGCTCGCAATATGTATTCTCCGCCCGGGGTCGCAGATCTGCGGGGAAGGACGTGCCGGGAAGGCTGGACGTACCATTGCCGCCTGCACCAGTGATGCCGTGAGAGGAGAAGCGCTCCTTCGCGGTCGGGGAGAGATCTGAGTGTGCGGCTTCTTCTTCTCGGTGCGTCTCAGCCAGGGGCGGGCCAGTGCCATGCCTCGCCCGGGCAAGAGCTCCTACAGCGACCAGAAGCCCCCTTACTCGTACATCTCCCTGACGGCCATGGCCATCCAGCACTCGGCCGAGAAGATGCTCCCTCTGAGCGACATCTACAAGTTCATCATGGAGCGCTTCCCTTACTACCGCGAGCACACGCAGCGCTGGCAGAACTCGCTGCGCCACAACCTCTCCTTCAACGACTGCTTCATCAAGATCCCGCGCCGGCCGGACCAGCCGGGCAAGGGCAGCTTCTGGGCGCTGCACCCGGACTGCGGGGACATGTTCGAGAACGGCAGCTTCCTCCGGCGCAGGAAGCGCTTCAAGGTGCCGCGGCCGGAGCCCCACATGCCGGCGGCGGGCAAGGCAGGGGGCGTCCTGCACCCGCACCTCAGCCACTATTTCCACCCGCACCACCCGCACCAGCCGCCTCCTCTTCCTCCTCCTCCTCCTTCTTTGCAGCCTCCAGGAGCTGCCAAAGGCCACCCAGACTCCAGCATGGCTGCTGCGGCTGCAGCTGCGGCGGCGGCGGCGGCTGTGGGGAGGCTGCCCCACTTCCAGCCCTACAGCTCCTCGCCGGGCTTCAAGCACCCCTTCGCCATCGAGAACCTCATCGGGCGAGACTACAAGGGCGTGATCCAGGGGGGCGGGCTGCCCCTGGCCTCGGTCATGCACCACCTGGGCTACCCCGTGGCCAGCCAGCAGATCAGCACCATGGTCAGCTCCGTGTGGCCCCACGTGGGCGTGATGGAGGCCGGGGGCGGCGGCGGCGGCTTGCCCCTCTCCCCCGCCGAGTACGGACCCTTCGGCGTGCCCATGAAGGCCCTCTGCCACCCGCCCGCGCAGACGCTGCCGGCCATCCCGGTGCCCATCAAGCCCACCCCGGCCATCTCCTCGCCCACCGCCATTCCCGCCCTGGCCGTGAGCCAGGTGGCCCAACAGCTCTGCCCGTCCGCTTCGCCCAGCTCCTCCGCTTCCCTTCTCGAACAGACTCCCACAAACTCCTCGGAAGGCAAAAGTTCCTGACATTCCGCCTCGGCCCATTCCTCAGAGAGGGGCGCCTCCAAGAGCGGGGGCGGCATTGCTTTTCCCTTCGCCTTTTAGGAAACACAGATATTAAGGGCAAAAGCCCGGCCGCAGCGGAGTCTTTGGGAAGATCGTTGCTTTGTTCTTATTCTTATCCTCGTTGTCATCTCCATTCTTTCAAGCTCTGTATTTTAATTGTTGTACAATCAGTTTGTCGAGAGCCAGGTAAGGTAAGGGTCTCTGTGTTAACTGTTAAACCATTTTTAAAAATCAGATTGCTGGTGATCATTTAGCAAGTATGTTGATCATCCAACTCTCAAAGCTGCATCCAAGCTTGAAATGCTACACAAAACGACACCCTCCCCGAAAAGAAAGAAAGAAAGAAAGCCTTTACGATCGGGGCCTAAAACCAAGGTCCTTAACACACTTCCTTGAAAGTAAGCGCCACTGGAGTCACGGAAATAATAAAATATCTCCCAGGTATCAGGATGTAAAGTTTTCAACCCGAAGCCGATTCCTTAAAGGAAGTTCCTTGGAAGGTCTAATCAGCCCAGACATAATTTCAGATTGTGTTTAGAAAAGAGGTGCCGAATTATTTTCTTGTGTGGTCTGGTGGCCGTGCTACTGGCTTCAGTGAGACTTATTTTAACGTAAACGTATTGTATAATAGGGTGTTGCGGGGGGGAGTCTAGCTGGTATTATTTCAGGAAGTTATGCCTAAAAAGTATTTTAAGCATGACCATCAATCTGTGCAATCCGGGGCTTGAAAAATAAATAGAAACGTCGCCATGGTCTTCATTTGGGCTCCTCCCGTGAGATAGGCCGTGACATCTTTTACTGGAACTTCCTTTTGCTAGCTTTAGAGTTACCAAGAACTCTTCATCGCCCAGGTCTGCACTGCCTATGCCAAGCTACTAATAATAGATCCAGCCCCAGTGGCAAGTCGAGATGGAGGAGCACAGGTAACTTTGAGAAGTGAGCCAATATAAAATTTAGGAATAGGGTTAACTAGGAGATCGCCTGGAATCATTTGCTCACTCTTTGGTGAACTAACCTTTCGGAAACCTGGTTCAAACTGAAATGTGTACTATGGATTGAGAAAAGTCCTGCATGGGTGTATTGGTAACCCTCTCAGATTCACACCGAATCTGCAACCTCCCCACCCCCCGCCAAAAAATATGACCAAATATATACAGTATTAACGCTGACATCAGCAACCAGCAACAGATTAAAATCCTAAACTTTAAAGGAGAAATGAGCGGGGATTAAAAGTGGAAATGGGTTTTGAAATCTAAGAACTGTCTGACAGTCTATTTCGGTTTGAAAAAAATGTGTCGAACGATGACATATAGAGACAATTTTTTCGAGTGGAAATTTCACATAGCGTTCTTTAGTGAAGTTTACGCGTTTGGTGTAATATTGTTGTGTAAACGTGCAAGACCTGCCTCATCATTACTCTGTTCCGAACGCATTTTTTTAAAAAAACCTCTTTCTTGTAAGTATGCTTATTACAACACCTTTATTATCCCTACTGGTATACATACATACATACATACATACATGGCTGCTTTTCACAGGCTCCAACGGTCTGTTCTCACTCCACTTGAATTTAGAAATTAAATGCTGATGGAGGGGGGGTGAGGGTGAGGACCTGCGGGGGGGACACAACTCTTACATGATAAGCACTTTACGCAGAAGAAAGTTCTGTGAGAGGTAGGGAATGGGTCAAGCAACCATTTCCCGAGCACAACTTTCTTTTGGGTTGGATTTCTGAGTCCTAGCTGGTTTGTGAAGTATTGCTGTTGGCGCTTCCTGTCTGCCTTACTGTACATCATTGTTTCAATTAAAATATGACTTGTTGGCTTCCTCCTTCTAACCCCGATGCTTAGGGGGTTCTTTTCTCCCTTTTAAAAATCCGTGGTTTATAGAGCTGTGTGCGCTGGAAAGCGCCCACATATGCCGCGCCCGAGTTTGGAATGTGTTCTCTTGACTTGAAGAAGGTCTGATCCACAGGTTAGCGAGTCACTTAGGGCAAAGCGTGTAAGGCATTAACCAGCGCTGGTCGCAACAAAACCGCGAGAATTCTGTTGAAAAGTGCCCTGGATCGCGCAGACCCGGAGAACAGACTTTTCTTACAATAAACTGGAAGGAGGGCCAGTTTATTTCAAGAAGACCGACTGCTGTGCTTGGATATCGATGGGCCAGTTAGATCCGGAGTTCCTAGCTTGCCTTTAGTTCAAATGTACAGAGGCTTTTGCGTCTCTGCTAATGCAAGCACCGGGGTGTAAAAAGAGTCTCTATAGAAGGAATAAACTCTTTCTGACAGTATGGGCAGGAAGGATGTGTGTAGTAGAAAAGACTAACTCGTTTTCTGTGAATTTATTGGAAGAAAATAACGAGGGGCTTTACACTGCGGCAACAGTCTGCTTAGACACTGGGAATAGTTTTCAAGGGAGGCTGGCCTGTTGAAACACTTCTGCTCTTCGTTCTGGCCCATGAGTTTTGTATTCATGCAATCCTAATCCCGCCCTTTACCTGGGATTGAATTCAATAGGACTTGCTTCTGAGTAGACATGGTTAGCCCTGGGATGTAAGATTTCATTAGTCCCTCAGTACAAACTCAGTGGTGGCTCGCGGTCCTACGTGGAAATAAGTGCCAGGGAAAAAAACGTGCTGAACGTGGAAGATAATTAAAACTGACACTGGTTTAAATCTTAGTCGCATCTCCGCTGCCGGCTCTAATGTCGAATTATGGCCATAAGCATCCTTGGTCCGAAGTTAATTCTGTTGCAGTCAATGAGGCTCGCTTCCGAATAAACGTGCCTGAATTGAGGGTGGAGTGTCATGCTTCCTTTCCAGACACGGTGGCGGGGAAGTAAACCCATTCACTAGCATTGCGAATTCTGCCACTCCATTCAAAATACCCGTACAGTATAAGAAAATGCATTGTTGATTTAAATAACTCTTTTAATTTTAATCCTTCAGTTAGATGTACTAAGGATCAGTGTATTAAAAGGGCAAAGCCATTATCCTCTCCATGACCTCCTCTTCTAATATCTTGGCATCTTTGGGATCAAGTCACTCACCTCATCATTCAGCAACCTAGAGGCTTAAAAAGTTGGGTGAGAACACGAGTCCATATTTGTAGTGCCAGGTATATGCAGTCCCATACATATGTACTCAAAATCAAGTTCCATTTAATTCAATGGGACTTACTCCCAGGAAAGCGTGCAGCATTCCTATTGTGGAAAGATTATGCATTAGTTATCGTTAAACCCATCAATCTCCCCTTAAATCAGAAAATGTTCATCCACATGCCATAATTCATTTTCGGGTCGATTCAACTGTTTTACGAAAACCTGATACTTACTATATTTCACAGGTTTCTCTCCAGGTTGTGGGGCGAAAGTTTCCGTGATATTATTATTATTATTATTATTATTATTACTATTATTATTATTACTATTATTATTATTACTATTACTATTACTATTATTTTAAAAACTTTAAAGATAAAAATGCTCCCTTTTTTGTTTGTTTTCTACATTACTCGTTTCAGTTTCCTAGTTTCCTAACAGAAAATAAATTAATAACACTGGACTTTGGGTTAAGTAAGACTAGAATTTGAGTTCATAGTTCACATTAGGCTTAAAGAGATTCCCTGACTTCTAAAAAAAACAAAACAAAACAAAAAAACCACTGTTTGGGTGGAACAAGTACGACCTTCTTAAGAGTCCAGGAGCGGGGGGAAGTTCTCTACGAATTCTTGGAAGTCAGTCTATTGATATTTTCCAGTTTTTCCATCCTGAGCTAAAGTCTCCGGCTAAAACGCACTTTTGCAGTCTAATATAATTCACGGGACGTTGGGGACTGTTTTCTACCCATCCATTCTAAGCGACTGTGGCCACCACACCGCTTCCCCATCTCTTTTGCCATTCACTTGAGGTAACAAGTGAAGAATCCTTGTGATCATCTCCGATAACCAACAGGAATTACTACAGATGATTTCCCCCCCCCCCCGCCCGCATGTCTTCGCGAGGACCGTGAACAGATTTCTCGTCTGATGTCAGCCGCAGAGGAATCACAGCATTGTTTCGGTTTGGAAACTCGGTTCTCGGCATAACGGCGAATGGAAGACTTTTATCTTTCCTGCTTGTAAGAGGAAGTATTTCTCCGCTTGCTTTTTGGTTCAAAAGAGGCAGAGATCACGTGAAAGAGATGCAGCAATCAGGATATTCGTGCTGAGTTTTTTCCGGCAAAGGAAAGCGAAATTAATTTCAGTTCAAGAAAATAGAATACACTATGAGGAAACTGTAGGAGCCTTAGAATCAATGAAGGAACACGAAGAACGAGGCGAAACCTAACTGATCTCAAGTGGACACTGACGTTTTTCGCTTCCGGGCTGTTTTCTGCAGAACTTCCGAGCGAACGTTCCTGACTTTGCGATACAGAGTTTCTTATCGCAAGGACAAGAGACCAGAGACCAGCAACCTTTTCCAGGCAGGTTTCAAGGTCTTACTCTGCAGAACTATGGGCCCCAGCCGGTTAAGGCTTGAAATAAGTCGTGGGACTTGCTTGAAACAGGCGGGAGGGCCCGCTGAAACCAAAGAAGAAGAAGAAGAAGAAGAAGAAGAAGAAGAAGAAGAAGAAGAAGAAGAAGAAGAAGAAGAAGAAGAAGAAGAAGAACTATAGCTGGATCGGAGCCACCCACGCACGCACGCACCCCAATTCTATGGGGCTTAAGGGGTAAGAGCTGCTTCCAAGTTAAGGTGCCAGTGTTTTTAAATGACATGCTATCTAGAAACCAAGTCTTTCCTTCCCTAGGTAACGCACTCCTAAAGAAAGTAACACGGCTTTTCGCAAGGCTTCCTCGCCCACGTTATTTGTCGTCACCTCGACTTGAACCAGGGAAGCGGGACGGTGCCGAAAGTTCCCAGGGTGGATGCCATTTCAAATCCAGATTTTTCGGAGACTATTAGACCTGAGGTAGTGAGCCTTCATTCTTCTGAGAAATAAAAGCACCTGCTGATTCCAGTACTTTCTACAATTCTTCATTTGAGAAGGACTGAGAAATTGAAAGTTGGGATACTGTTATTTTAAGACACCCATGAAATCCTGTGCTACATAGTCCATAGATTATTACATTTATCTCTCCCGGGCATTATGTTGGGGAGAGTTGATACAGGAATGAGTGAGAAAAATTCTTGTTAACTGCTGCTAATTCAGCTGGACTTGGGTTTCGAGTCTGAGGCGAGGATTTGAGTTTGGAGAGACAAAAGACGGTCAGTTCCAAAGGGCAACTGTTGTCCTACAGATAATAAACCTCGGGGGGGGGGGGAGGCGCTTCCATGCGCGGGTCCAGTTCTGTAGAAATAGGCAGGGTGAGGTAGTGATTTAAAACTCTGAAAGTGTCACATGGAGGTATGAACCATTTCCTGAAATCGCATTTAGGGTCAGGATGAGGGCACTGATCCAGCAACAGAACAATGAGATCAAGAACTGGAGGAGTCCTTAGTGTAGCCCATTCTTTCTCTCACCCACGGACTCCCTGCATCTTCCACGGAAGCCTACAAAAGGTTAGTTGAGGGATCCAGAGGTGCTATTCCGTTGGGATGTCTTGAGAGTAGTAGAAGTTAGCAGTCAGTTACAGCCACCTAAAGCACCTTGAAGACATGCTTATTCTGGCTGCCCACTTCAGGAGATGCATCTGGTCCGCGAAAGCTTGCGCCTTGATGAAAGGTTCCCCATTCCGCCAGCGGGATTCAGCCAGGACCGGAGGGCTCTGTTTCCCGCACCGCTGCTGGACGTTGCCCGAGGCTCTCGCCCGTCGCCGGAGCCTCTTCCCTGACAGTTGGGCTTTGCTGCTGCAGACGACGCTGCAGCCAGGCCGGCACCACGAAATCTGCTGCCTGCCATGCAATCTGCGGCGGCAGCGCCCAGGGACGCGGCGGTGGCCCTTTTCTTTGGCACCGACCTCGGGCAGGAGCTGCCAGACTCCCCGTGCAGAGCTGGCGCTGGCTCCCAGGGGGGCAATCAGCCTTTCTTGTTGGCCATAGGGGGAGGGTGTCACTATAGAAGACGCATCTAAGCCAACGTAGGGGGCTGTCGCGCTAATTGCCCGCGTCCAGGGGGCACAGCCTGGCTGCCAGCCGCCGCCCCCCGCCCTCGACTCAGCAGCAGCCAATATTTGGATAACGTGTAATTTCTACTGCCGCCCCCGCCCCTTTGGAAACCCGAACCGGTCTCTGACTGAAGCCCGTGCGATTAAGGGGAGATGTTTTGCCTGCGCGTAATTGCCTCGCAGGTTTCTCCCAGCAGCTCACGCAGGCGGGACGCGGAGCCTGGAGAAGTTCGATGGGTGCCCAACACCCACCCAGTTCCAATAAGGTGTGTTGCATAATCTAGGTGGGGAGATGGAAGGGGGAAATAATGAAAGGCAGCAGTGGGACCCCCCAATAGGGCAAGACCCGGGGTTCAGCTGCAGAGCATCAGCTTCGCATGCAGAAGGCCTCAGGGTCTGGCATCTCCAGGGCGGGCTGGGAATGTCTCCTGTCTGAAAAGCCCGGCCAACCGCTGCCAGTCAGTGTAGGCAATACGGGGCTAGATGGACCTTAATGGTCCGGCTCTGTATGTGTTCAGGCTCGCTGAACTGAACTGAACTGAACTGAACTGATAGCCAACAACCATTCTTTGAATAAGGGGCAGTCAGGTAGAAGAACAAGAGACTACTCAGTGACCAAACCAATCTTACACCCTTCTCTCTCTCTCTCTCTCTCTCTCTCTCTCTCTCTCTGTGTGTGTGTGTGTGTAGAGTCCAGTGTTTCCCAAACTTGGTACTCCAGCTGTTTTTGGACTACAATCCCCATCATCCCTGACCACTGATCCTGCTAATTAGGGATGGTGGGAGTTGTAGTCCAAAAACAGCTGGAGTACCAAGTTTGGGAAACACTGGACTCTATACACACACACACACCCGTAGATAACGTAAGGGAGACCCCAGGGCAGTTTTTCAGGAAGTGCTGGGGAGGGGTGGGGTCCCTCCGTGTCTCTAGAGAATTTCCACCTGCTCCGTTTTCTTTAGGAGTCAAAGAGAACCCCAAATGAAACGCAGTTAACCTGTTAACAATTACGGATAGTGAAATGCGTGTCCGTGGGTTACGTGTGAGTGTGACAGGGAGGGAGAGGGGGAACGACAAAATGGCAGCAGCTCCAAGAAGCGTCTCGCTCCCAGATCACCTTTCTCGCGCAAAGACGAATGGAGGTCCTTCGCGTCCCCTCCGATTGCAAAGGCTGGCGGGACATATCCCGGTCCTGGAGCTGAGCCTGATCCCGACTTTGAACTAACGCCGCTGCTCGACACTGACTTAGCCACCTGTAACCTAACCAGAACATACCCCTCATTTAAGCGAGATGCGGCTCCCTCTCGTTCAATTCACTCGAAGCAAGTGCCCCCGCCTGCCTTCTCCCCTGCCAAAGAGGGACAGGAGTGGCTCTCTTCAGATTCACCTCGTCGCGCTGCCCTCAGCTTGTTCGCTCCTCTCATCTGGTCCCTGAACAGGAGGTGAGTGAGAGAGAGAGAGAGATTTTGATTTACTGTCCAGGGCAAGAAGGAGCGTTCCAAAACTGAGCTTTGTCCAGCTGCTGCTACAACTGCCTCTCCAGCCACTCCGCCTCCCCTTTCTGCACTTTCCTCCAGGCTTCTCAGCAGCCAAGCACTCTGACCAAGACCCAGCTTCTTTCTTGCAGGGATCCAGCAGGTCAAGCTCTCTACTGATCCAGTCGCCAATCGCTTCCCGGCTTAAAAGCCAGCGCAAAACCTCCAGCCACCCCACGCTGTGGGGTAGATTGGGAGAATCCTAAAAACGTCAAAAATCTCTTCTTTGCTTTCTCCCCAGGAACAGACAGTCGCCGTTCTCGTCCACGCGAGGACAGTCAGAAATTCTGGGGCAGCCTCCGGGCCAGTCTGGGGCTTCAAATGGCTTGGGGAGTGTGAGAAGGAGGTGCTGAGTTCACTGGACATTACGTTCTGCAGTGGAATTCACTTCATTTAAATGAATACATGTCTACCTCTCTGCTGATACATTGCTCCCTCTGCTTTGATGTTCTTGCAGCAGCTCTCGGCACTACAACAAAGCTCTTTTCCCTGGAAGGGATCCAGATGAAATCTGGTGGTAGACTAGGGGCTCCACACCCTGGACTAGATCCCCTGTGCAGGTGATGTGCCAGGCAAGGTTTACCCCCCTCTGATTGGCTGAATCCCGCCACTCTCCCACCCCAAATCTACCTCCTGACACATAACAATTGCATTATTTGGGAAATATATTGTCCATCTTTACTGGCCTCTTTCGTGATGGATCCCAGGTTCTCTCTCCACATCTATACATTAGCATCACCTCCAGTCCTCTCTCACATACACTTCCATGGTAAGGCACATATGAGGCAGCACTAATAAATTTGGTTCCTATGCTGCTTTGAAAGATGAAATACACTCAAACATTTACATAAGGGACTCTGAAAAAAATGCCCTTTGCAGTTGGTACTTCAGACTGGTACGGCTGGATAAGAATCCATGCTTAAGGTATTAAATGTGAGAAGTAAAATGCACGCATTTTAGTATTCTTATACTTCATGAGAAATTAGAATTGAGAGTTGCAACTGACCAGAAAATTGGTGCTATGACTGGTCTTGGAAACTTGTGGAAAGCAGAGTGTGGAGTAGAAATAAAAGAAAATCAGTGGAATGCTTTATGGGGAAAGTCCTCTTTGAAAGCTGCCTCATCCCACACGAAAGAGACAATGTTGAATATAATCTATAGATCATACATCACTCCTATTAAGCTTCCTAAGATCAGTGCAACCTTCTACCACAAACTGACAGAAATGATGTAATGGCAAAGGTTTATGTCCACTGGTGATGAAATTCTGGAAACATATATTTAAAGGAATACAGCAATGACAAAATACCCTAAAAGCACGAGAAGAGCCTGCTGGTTCAAGCCAAAGACTCATCAGTTCAGCACTCTTTCCTCACAGTGGCCAGCCTGATGCCGTGAGTGCAATAGAACTCTCCCTGCTTGTGAACTGACTGGCATTCAGAAGCTCCAACAATGTAGGCAGAACAAAGCTACCATGGATAGTAGCCATTAACCGCCAATAATTTTTCTCATCCTCTTTTCAAGTCACCCAAGTTGTGGCCACCACCATGCCTTGGGTGTGTGAATTCCACAGTTTAGCAGTGCCCTGGGTGAGGAAGTGCTTTCTGTTGTCTGTCCCGAATCTTCCAACATTCAGCTTCTGGGGATGTCCCTGAGTTCTAGCATTATGAGGGAGGGAGAAAAGCTTCTCTCTGTCCACTTTCTCCACACAATACATAATGTTATACACCTTTATCACATCTCCTTTTACTCCCATTTTCTCTAAATTAAAAAGTCTCAACTGTTTCCTCAAATGGGAGTTGCAAAGTAAAGAAATATTTCTGAATAAATATAATCACTCAATAAATATAAGGAAACTCCCACAGCAGATGCATCACTTTTCCTCTGCCTTCACTGCCCCTGCACCAATTTGGTGATACATTCATGTTTATGAAATGCAATTTCTCTGATATTAAGTGTCAACAACCAGCTGCAGAAAGGATTCCTTGATGGCAGCCAAAATGGATTGACTCAGGGTTTCTTCTATAATCCCTCCAATTCATCATTAGTTATGCCTTAACCCATGTCTGTATTTGATACCTGCTTTAAGCCACCCCATAGAAAACTGTTATTATTGTGCTATGAATCATGGACACCGCTTGCCATGAGATGCATTCGTACTTTGTTTCAGGCTGTAACTATGGTCAGTTACTATAGAATAAATTCTATTTTATGCAATAGTGCTTTTTCTGAGTAAACATACTTGGGATTGTGCTTCAGTTAACAAAAGAAATAACTTTTTCTGAAGTCTTTTCTCAAATCAAAGAAGACCCAATCCAAACGTCAGGGTAGCTGTTAGATTCAAAGCAGTACAAACTCTGTCATTCCTTTTATAAATACCATATTTGCCTGGGATAAAGTCTGTAAATCACATGTATAGGGTGTATATTTTCTTTCTGGGCAATGAGACTAGAGAAGGAGTAAGGGATCAAAGAGAGAAGGCATGAAAGCGACAGAGACACAGAGGCTTCTGAGAGAGGCTTCTCCAGGTCCCTTTGCCAGGGTCTGTAGAATTTTCAAGAACTGTGCAGCCTGCAAAACATTTAGAGCTCTAAAAGAAACAAAGGATCTGTTAGGACCACCCAGATCTTTGAATACTATAAAGGACTTTCAAGGGCCTTTTGCTAAGTTAAAATTGTTCCTCTCAAGCTTCTCAGAAACCCTGCATGAGCAGTTATGAGCAGTTATCCAACATCACCAAGTGACAAAGACCCTTTTCTCTAGTCTTCTTAAAATACTTGAGAACAATTGCATTGGGCTGAAACAGTTCGTGATCTCCCTTTAACCAGAACAGAGAAGAAAAAGGAAACCCACCTGTATAATAAGTTTGAAAAATAAATAATTAGTTCTAGAATGTTTTAAAATACCCCTTTTCTCTGTTTGATGAGTGTTTGGAAACAGAAGAAACGCCTTATTTTATTTTACTTTGTCATCTACAAACTCAAAGTCATCAGATACTGGAGAGGAAAGATAAATCTGTGACTAAGAATTTGGCAAGCAACACCAAAGCTCATAGCTCATAGATTCCAAAATAACAGATTTTGAACTTTCCACTAGGCATTTATGCATTTATACTCAAATACACATGCATGACATATTTTTCAGCAAGAAATATAAAGCTTAACCATTATAGAAAGAAACATAGGATACTTAGGGCATATTTGTGTTGTGGTGTTCCTTGCAAAAGCAGCGTACAATGTTTCATTGCATTGTTCATATAGCAGGTCGGGTGTTTATTTCTTACTCACATTTGAAAAGTACCCTTTCACAGTGGGACTGCATTGTTGGTCTTTGCACCTGCAAAATACAGGGACAGTACAATTATGACAGATTTTTCAATTCATATACATCTGTGCACTGGTGTGTCAATCACCAGATGCCACTGCGGACAGTACAAAACAGATTGTATTAAAGGGACATAAAAAAATAAAGTACTGGCACACAGTAACCTCAGGGCCCCCCTGCCGTCTCAGTCTGATCCTCCCCAGAAATGGCAGTGGTGTTGCAGCCCTCCTGCCATTGGCCAAATAGGCAGGCAAGCTGAAATCAACTTATCGGGCCTGGGTGAAGCCAAAAAGGGTTATCCAAGCCTAGGAAAACCCCTCACCTCCAGCACAACTGCCGGATCCAGGGGAGGCATTTTCACCACCCCACAACGGCACCCAACCTGGCAATAAGCATCATTACACAACAGATGAAACGTGTACTTGTGGGTGAACAAGGAGCTTTAAATATACAGATATGCATGAATCAACAAATAAGTTTTAAGGACGAACTACATTATCTCTGTCCAGCTTGAATATGCACGATAACAATACCTGTTATGTTTTGTAGCATCCAGTTACAGGCAGTTTGTAGCCAAAACAAAAGCATAACATTTCATTTCTGAATTTCACAGCAACAGATAAATAATAGATTTGTTGGCTTGTCTTCCATAAAACAAAATTTGGCATACATAACACGGCACAGAGAAATTTGCAACAAATTATATTCCTGTAGCCTGATTGTGTAGCTAACCCACCTGATGAAGGTGTGGAAGGGAGTTAGGATGAAGTTTGGGCCTCTGTCCTTCAGCTTCTGTGGGAAGAGAGGGGCACTGAGGATGGGAAGGGCAGCTCTGATGTGCAGAGGCCTGGTCTCTGCCAGAGCAAGGCTACCACTGTGAGTCCTCCCGCCGGGGGGAGCTGGTGTATGGCCCTGAAATGGAGAGCTGGCACAGCAAAAGCTGTCAAACACCCAC